ATACAAAATTAAATTTAAAATAAGGAAGGTCTCATTTCTCATTCAAGAACCTTTCTTATAATTATTAAAGTTAAATATAATATAAAATTTTAAAATAAGATTTTATATATAAAATTATTGTAAACTTGTAATTTTTTTACAACTTTTAAAAGAATAATCCAAAAAAAAAAAAAAAAAAAAAGAAAAAAAAGAAAAAAGAACCTCAATTGTACGTAATTCCCACAAATTTTTTCCCTTTCACGTGGGCAATCACCATGCAAGTGGCTATGTAATATGTGTAAACCCTTTCTCTTTCAAATGTACTGGGATTTTGTCAGCATTTGCAAACTCCTGTCTTGAATACCGTCTGTATGCACTCTTCTTTCCCCCTTTTTTCTGGGTCATACATATATATCGGGCTACTGCTGTAAATCTTGGAGCAGATAAGCTGTGGTTGGTTAAGACTCTGATGATCATCAAGATGGAGAAATTGGAAGATTCTGTTCCTTTCATTTCTGCATTATTATCCAACACCAATTTTGTCCTCTCTTAGCTTAGGGGAAAACACTGGCAATTTGGCTATAGGAAGAATCGAAGTTGCATCTATATCGATAGAATAGGGTAGGACCAGTCTATACACACTGTAATGTCCGGTGCCTTTAACAGCCCAATCCAAGATAAGTAATTAAATTCCATATATACTTACCATGTATTTTAACAGGAATATTCTTTCTAGTCTAAATAAAACGTTAGTTTGGGATTAAAAAGTCAATAATGCCTTTAATAAATTTCAATACCAAACTAATTCATTACCATAAAAAGAATATTACAAAAATTTGTGCTAGGTAGTTGGATTTAATTTTATGGGTAGAAATACTATTTGTACTTAATTCATATTAAAAAATAATAATTTATTGACCTATCAAAAAATTTTACATTACTAAAATTAAAATACCCAATAATTTGTTAATAGCATTGTTGATGTTTTAGTCTTGACTTAACATTATGAACAATAATTAGGGCCTGTTTAGTAGAGCGGCTAAAATTCGGCAAATAGTGGTAGCGGGTAACGGGTGACAGATAGCGGATGGTAAATAATGAATTCGATAAATATAATTATTTAGTTATATAATAGTTAACGGTTGTTATTTAACATTAAATGACTAATAAAGAAATATTTAAAAACAA